TTATAGATAATGCATGTTTTAAGGTTTGTCTCGTCGCAGAACACACCGCGGGTGTCATGTCAGTATTGATTAAATGGGCAATCTTGGCACTCTGAGGTGTGTTCTACGACGAGAAAAACCTTGTAATGCCATCAACCATAACATCTATACAACAAGACACAACATAGAAAACTAAAGACTAACCAACACGAACCCCGCCAAAAAACGGGGGGTGGTATCAGGTGCTCCGGAATGTTGCTCATGTTATTACAAACCCGGTAAATAGTCTAATTCGGTAGGTCAAATTCATGAAAAGGGAAGGGGATGGTAGTAACAACGTAAGGAACATATCCGATATCATCTATGAAACGGTTATTCCGTAACGATCAACCAACTCATGATGGCGTCCGTAAAATTAACGAAGGGATGATTTCAACTTCATCATTTGGAACTCTTGGTTTTATAGCTTCCTTGTGTGCAGCAAACCACTATCATAGAATATATGATAGGAAATACAAGCCCGGGAATATCGTATCAATTTGGAGATATATACTCCGTATTCAGGCGCTGCTGGAATGTTGTTACATAGAAATGGAAAGTTCACAATAAAAAAGCTGGTCATGTAGAGTGAAAACGTGTGATTTATTTTGTTAATAGTTAACTTAAGGAATTTAAGATTGAGTGATATAAGAATATGCTTTGGAAGCATTTTGTTTTCCTTGATGAAACACTTTTGATATAATCTCCAATCAAAGTTTACACAATATTTTGGTATAACTACATGGACATTCAATAGCATAAAACATTTAGTTTCTATTTGACTGTGATGGTCGACATATTTTTGTATGTTCTTTCTTACTATATCAAGTATTGAAAATTTTCAAACAGTTCTATACATAATGAAAATAAACTATTTGTTACTTTCCTGATGTTCAATTAAAACAATTAAGTTTTAATACCCAAGCTCACCTATTGTTTTTCCAAAAAATGGAAGCAGTGATTAACACCTATAAAACATGGATATGTCCCAACAAATAATGAAACTATATTGAATTGATTTACATTATTTGTTCAGGTTTTTTGTTAAATGGGCAGTTAGCAAAAAATTTAGAAAAACTATGTAATATCTTTCACACTAAGAAGGACAATTGTCTATGCTATCAAACTTAAAACATGTTACACTGGTCCTAGTCATCTGAATTCTTCATAAGATGGATACATATAGATATATCCAACTTCATTTTATTTTACAAACAGAGCATCAATTTACTCCCCGACCTCATTGTGATGTATGTAGCTGTTATTCTAGAATATTTGATCAGTTGATCATTTTATTGAGTAAGATATATATATATATATATATAGCTTGAAGAGTTAAGAACTGACACAAAGAAAGCACTCAACCGTGATACAATGTAACACGAAAACGAACATCGTAAAAGTATAATTTCTAATTAAGTGTGAATCAAAAAAGATTTTTAAAATCCTACACACGAATGTATTAAATCAGGCTTGTGTTATAAAATGTTTAGCAATTTTAAATTTATCTCACATATAGAGTAAAGTGTAACTTGTGTTATCCGACACACTTGGGGGCCAGAAAAAAAAATTCGGATTAAGCAGGGTGTCGGATTACACAGTTTTTTTTCTGCTAGAATAGGTATATTTTTGGACCAGAAAAATGTGTCGGTTAAAACAGGATGTTGGAATACTCATGTGTCTGATTAGGCAGGTTACACTGTATGTCCCTTTATTGAAGCGAATACATTAACCAAAACTCACATTATTTGTTTTGGGAATTTTAGAATTTAAACAGGATATTCCATCACTGTATTGGATACCTAAACTTCATACATGTCCTTAAAAACAACGGTATATTGATGGGTCTTCCAAGAAGTCACTTTCTAAATTATTAACATATATTTTTTTCAACAATCAAAACCGTGTTTCAATGTTATTGTAAACATACCTATGCTAGAGGTGGCGTAAATCAGATGTGGATACTAAAAAAATCCAAAGAACTTTTAGAGTACATACAATCTAAGACTCTTTTACTTAAGACAATAATTCCCCATACTAAATTTAAAGACAAATTTAAAGAGTTGGTAATGCTTTGTTTCATAAAAAATAATGACCGACGTAGTTATAAGTATCTTGTCTCAGGGAGGGATGAATCCTACTTTGTCCAAAATCACTCTGATTCAAACAAAATATTCCCTGAAACTGACGTTATCAAGATGCTTTATTTCGTGATTGACAACATATTTGTAACGTTTGGAGGACGTGTTTTTCAACACACAATCGGCATTCCCATGCGAACCAACCGTGCCCCTCTTACTGCCGAATTGTTCCTTTATTCTTATGAGGCGACTTCATAAAAACAACTTCTTAGAAAGAAAGAAAAGAAGTTAACAATATCCTTTAACTTTACTTTGCGCTATATAAATGATGTTCCCTTACTAGATTATTAAAATTTGACTTTGTTGAACGAATCTATCCCATCGAACTAGAGATAAAGGATACAACAGATACATTTAAGTCTGTCTCATATCTTGACTTTCATCTAGAAATTGACAATGAAGGTAAGTTAAAAAAAATTACGACAGAAGAGATGATTTCAACTTCTCAATTGTGAACTTTCCATTTCTATGTAGCAACATTCCAGCAGCACCTCCATACGGAGCATATATCTCCCTATTGGTACGATATTCCCGGGTTTGTTTTTATTATAATGGATACCTTGATATAGGGTTGCTACTCACAAGGAAGCTATTAAACCAATAGTTCCAAATGGTGAAGTTGAATTCATCCCATCGTTAATTTTACGAGCGCCATTACTTGTTTTTAGACCGTTACGGAATATTCGTTTCACAGATTATATCGAATATACTCCTAATGTTATAACTAAAACCCCGTCCTTTCCACGAATGTGACCTACTGAATAAGACTACTTACCGGGTTTGTAATAACATGAGCAACACGACGGGTACCACGTGTGGATCAGAGTCTGCTTACCCTCCCAGAGCACCTGAGATCACCCCCATTTTTTGGTGGGTTTCGTGTTGCTTAGTCATTAGTTTTCAGAATATTTGTTTGTTTTTGTGATGTGATGACTGTTGTACCCCTATTTTGACAATTTTACCTATTATGTCTGTTCTGTTCACGTATTGTTGTCAATATAATGGAATTTGATGCGACTGTCATACAAGTGAGAGGTTAAATAAAGGCAACAGTAGTATACCGCTGTTCGAAACTCATAAATCGATAGAGATAAAAACAAATCCGGGTTACAAACTAAAACTGAGGGAAACGCATCAAATATAAAAATAATAAATTTAAGCGCTATAAAACCATGTTCAATCCACCATTTTCTACATAAGAAAATGCCTGTACCAAGTTAGGAATATGACAGTTGTTGTCCATTCGTTTGATGTGTTTTATCTTTTGATTTTGCTATTTGATTAGGAACTTACCGTTTTGAATACTTCAGAGTTCTGTATTTTTGTGATTTTACTTTTTGTTTACTATTGTTTGTCTTTTTTTTTAGCCACGTCGTTGTCAGTTTATTATTGATCTATGAGTGTGTATGCCCCTCTGGTATCTTTCGCCTCTCCTTTAAAGCACACATGCTAACAAAAAAAAAACACGAAATCAATCTTTTATCAAATATTAATTTGAGATTTGATGAAAGATAAGCGAAAGATACCCTATTCAAACTTATAAGTCGAAACTAAACTGACAACACCATGACTTGAAAATAAAAAGACAATCAGACAAACAGACAAATAACAGTTCACAAAACACAATATAGAACCCCGTCGAACTTTAAATAATGCAATTTAAATTCCAATAGTTATTTTTTTTTCATTTAGCATTCCTAGCTTTGTTTATGTCAATCACATTTGAAGTGCAGTCTGAAATTGAAAATAAACTGTTTTGTGAAAAAAAGATTATAACATCTACTGCCTTTAACTGGTGATCTTCTTTGTAATATATGGGAAATAGGTATAAACTACTGAGTAGGCTAAAAGCACACAAAAAGGCTTATCTAGTTTACATATTCCGTTTGAACATTCACCAAGACAAAACAAATAATTGTTATTTAAACCACTGTATGCAATACATACATTTAATATGTTATTCATAAGAGAATATTGCATAATAAAGAAAATATATGGGGTTTTTTTTTCATGATTAAAACTATTTTGAAAAGAAGAACAAAAAAGGCAATGTTAAAAATTGCATATTGATAAGATGGTAAATACTACCTGGAGTATGTTATCTTGTTAAAGATAGGCGAAAGATACTAAAGGGACATTCAAACTCATACGTCGAAAATAAAATGACAACGCAAAAAGGAAAAGACCAACAGACAAACAATAGTACACATAACACAACATTGAAAACTAAAGACTGAGCAATACGAAACCCATACAGAATGGGGTGATATCAGATGCTCTGGAAGGGTTAGCAGATCCCACTGCATTTGTGGCATCAGTCTTGTAGCGCATGTTAAGACAAACCCAATAATAGGCTAAAAGCAGTAGGTCACATTCGGGAAATGGGGAAGGGATTGTAGTCACAACATTCGGAACATATCCACCATCGTCTGTGAAAACAGATATTCTGTAAAAGAAAACCAACTCGTAATGTCATCCATAAAATTCACCACTTGGAATTCTTGGCTAAAAATATATATATTCCTTGTGAGCAGTAACCCTCTATCAAGGAAATCATGATAAGAAATACAAGCTCTGGAACATTGAATCATCTGGGAGATATATACTCCGTATTCAGGCGCTGCTGGAATGTCAGTTAGTTGATTGAGCTTTTGATCTGCCTGAAGAAATCCGCAGCTAACACTCTTTCAATATGTATTTTGTTATAGAGATAATGTTAATTTTCAAATCTTATTTTCAATTGATCATAAATAATAAGTATAGTGCCAGTCTCATGCAATTCTCGTTTTACGCGCCAGTTCGGATAACTAAACGTATTATAACATTTATAATGCGATTAAATAGTATATGTTATTTTTATTATATAATATATATGGCATATACAGAAAAGAACTATACATTATATTTTTTGGAAATCTGTCGAAACCAGAATTTTTGTATTGCAAACGTTACTATGCTTTGTATAATTAAATTAATTTTACAATCATCTATGAACATGTTAGACCTTTAATTGTCCACTTATTAATTGGTTTCCAACTAATGATTTTTTTTATGTAAAAAAGTAAATATCTATCTTACATTAAAAATTTCAAACATAGCAAAATATCGATGTAATTATATTGTTGACATAATTAACACGGTGTCTTTACAACATTGTCAAGAAATGTCTTGCTCTTCTTCACTGTGTCTCTTTTATTGTCACCTGTGCTTGTTTTCTGACCCTTTGACGTTGTGTCGTTCGTTTTCTTGGTTTGGCTTGGTTTTGGTTCATTTATTTTCTTCTGTAATTCTGTTTCTACATATTCTGATAAATCGCAGGTAACAAATTGTCTTGCCGTTGGTTCTCTCATATTTCCCCTTTTACGAATGATGTCGATAACTTGCTTCAATTTTTCGGATCTTTCTTTTGGTGTCATGCGTTCGCTGGCCTGTAGAAAAATATGCCTTTTCTCGACGTTTCTAATTTTTTTCATCCTTTTGTTTTTTTGTATGACTTTTTTAAGATCCTGGTTGAATTGTTTTTTGTTTTTCTGTTCATGCAATCCAAGTTTACTTGCACCGCATTTACCATACTTATCAAAATTTGTAAAAGCAACTATAATAAAATCATACACTTCATCGCCGAATATGTACTCGTAAGGCTTAATAGCATCAGTATATTTCTCATCAAACATATCTTGTGCTGGAATGCACACAATAATAGCATGGGGTCCAGGACACGAAAGTGCTGTAGCCTTGTATATCTCATATAGTTTATTCTGATGTGGTATTTTAGGGTTTTTAAGTACATGCGGTGTGTCAATAATATCGATCTTGAAGACGTAGGAATCTAGCTTGCGTTCTATAGTTTTTAATACAGTTCCTTCTGCAAAACACCACGGTGTGTTTTTTTTCTTCTGAAGCAAACCACTTGCTGTTGAACACATAGCGTGAGCGGTAGATCCGATGATAATTATTCTTATTTCATTTTCTGGTGGATTTATTTTTTTTGTTTCATCATGTTGAACTGTCTGTCTTTTTTTTGTCGCTATCTGAAACAAATACCTTTTATTAATCAAACACATTAAAATTTAGTTAAAATTCTAATTTAGAACTGCTTTCACTTGTATTAGGATTTTAATCTTTAACGGTTATATTGATCTTAACACCTTCTGCTAAGTCTGAACAACGAATAAGTCAGTCACTTTTCGCACTTTTCTTCAGTAGTGAGTTCAGTACTGTTCAGACGATTCGCTGGTATTCAATTCAGTACATTTTTTTTGTGTACATGCAGGTAACCAAAAATATCTAAAAAATATATGAACAAAGACTGAGTATAAATCGATTGACCACAACTACATTATCCTAACAGTCATGAATTTGCCTTAGTTGATATGTCTGACAATTAATTGAAAGAATGAAAATATATTCATAAGTTAGGAAAATATTTAAGAATCTTGTACTTTGTTTGTGACCATATACGTTTCAAGTATTACATTTATACTTACACAGTCTGTAGAAGATGCCTTTTCCTTCGAACTGTTTGTTTTATCAGTACCCTGACAGCTGTAACAAAAGACTTTGATTAATAAAGTTACACAATACAAACATGAAATGTGTTAAGATATTTTATTAAAATTGGATTTTTTCAATTTAGAAATTCAATTTAAACTTCTACTATTTAAATATTCAATTTAAATTAAGTGAAAATAAGATGGTTTTTAACAATTATGTTCATTTATTAACAATTGATGTATCTTAAATATTTACTGGTAACATGTCATGTTTAAATGATCAAGCATATCCATGTTTTAAGATAAAAAACAAAATCAGGTACTTCGTATGAATTTAGTTGGTCTAAGAGCCATCAATTTTCAAAATCATGATTCCAAAAAAGGCTTGAGCTAGCAATAAAATCTTTAATTGTTTATTATTCTAGCATTTACCGGGCTTCATATTTACTCTTCAAAGAATCCAACCATACATTGTCATTTAATATAGGCACCGTCTGTTGATATTTCCACTTTGCAAAAATACACGCCGCAAATACAAGGGAACCTGTTGTTTTTACAATACTGGTACCTACAAACAGAAAACAAATATCATCAACCAATCCTTCCTCTTAACTTATTATCTAATAGTAATATCCATCATTACACTCGTTACAGGGAGCAAGTCATTGTAATGTTTATCCAATTTTACTCATTTAAAAGTTGGTATGCGTACACTAGGAGTAGATATTACAATCCAAAGCCTAAAGAACTCACTAAGGTCTTTCATCTCTGTTGATAATAAAGGTCTGAATGATCTTTCAGAAAGAAGCATTGCATCCCACAAATAGTTAAATGTATATGAACGGAATAAGAGAGACACTTAGTTACATCATGTAAACACACAATCGAGTGTTGTGGCAAAACTTTTACAAAACCTTACAAACCACTGATTTGACATACATTTACACCAACACACATATATTATATATTGGCAAGTTCCTGTTTTTTTAGACAATTTAGTGAGATGGTTATTTTCTACAGAATGTTATGGACATATAAGTTTAAGCGTATTTAAAAAAGAGGAGCGAAAGATACCAGAGGAACATTCAAACTCACAGATCGACAAGAAATTGACAACGTCATGGCTAAAACAGAAAAAGACAAACAGACAAATAATAGTACTCAAGACACAACATAGAAAACTAAAGTATAAGCAACACGAAACCCACCAAAAATTGGGGTGATCTCAGGTGCTCTGAAAGGGTTAGCAGATCTTGCTCCACATGATGCATGTTGCTAATGTTATTACAAACCCGGTAAATTGTCTTATTCGGTAGGTCACATTCATGAAAAGGGAATGGGATTGTATTAAAATCCCATAGATAAATATTACGGCGCAGCAATGACCTTTTTTAGTGTCAGGTAACTGTAAGAGAATAATGTGTGGACGACAACGCGACCGAATCTACTTCCTATTTACTCAACGTGTTTGTGGATTGCCTTGGCCGATTTAAACTTTCCTCTTATGGTCATGCAAAGGTGTTAAGTTTTTGTATTGTACAAGCTTAGTGTTGGTCATCTTTAATTCAAGATTTTTTTAGGGGTAATGCTTACTTTACAATCACATATTTATAATCAGCACATCAATGTCCTTTACAATTCCCACTATTCGTTTATGGTTTAAGAGAAAATTGTATTATAAGTAGAAGTAAACATTAAGAACATGGCCTTGACTTTTGACCTTTTTCGACATTTCTTAGTTATGACCAAATGATCACAAATTAAAGAGCTTAAGTCTAATCAGTTTACCTGTCTATCAGTAGGGTGATCATCTGTATTTTTTAAATTAATTGTCAACCTTCAGAATATCAAATAAAATGGTGAAAACATTATTCCGATCAAAAATAGTATGAACGTTTTTTTCACTGCTAGAATTAAAAGAAATATCGAATATTTTGTCAGCTTTTTTTCGTAAGACTTAATGGGGAATCGGTATATCAATTCAATATATCATTCAGAAATCAGAAACTATTACATCGAAATTCATTCATGTAACAACGTATTGTCCATCTCCGACAACAGTAGCAGAACGTGAGACATAACGATGCTAACCTGGCGGCGGCGTTGTTTTAAACTATTTGAATTAAGAATTATATTTCATGAGATAGAAATACCTCTTTTTCATAGTCCGTATGTTACAAAGTGTCCGTCTAGCATTCGACGTTTGTTCTTGACATCATGCATATTTAGTCATGATTTTTCGACTGTCAGTAAGATATGGTTTGCAGTAAATTGACTGCAATTCATGAATCAGTGAATTTATTAATCACCATTGTAAATGTATAATGTGAATGTCATAAACTTTAAGAAAGAATCATAGTCATCTCTGTTAGTAGCACTTGTACAAGAATAGCAGTCTTTAATGGTCATTTAATATCAAAAGAACGTCTTAAAAGGGTAAACAATAAATTATAAAATCAGTTTCAGTATTTCAGTAATTGATTCTATGTTATTTACAGCAGTAAATATGTTTGCAGTTAATTAAGAAATCAGTAGTTCAGTATGTTGTTAATGTACACGGAAGAAAACCAACAACTAATTAATAGTCGAAACGTAGACTGAACAGATCGTTTGTGACCGAAAGACTAAACATTGCGAAATATTTTTTTGTTTCGTCTTCAAACAGCGATTAAGATCAAAATGACCGTTCTTGATGAAAAATGGTTTACTAGTGTAATATTATAAGATAATACAGGTAGATAAGTAATTTAATCACTTCATCAAAAATGTATATAGTTCAATATACAATATGCTCCTTTAATGATTGTTTTATTTTTTTTTTTGGTCTTCTGTTTACAAACATTAGATACACTGTACCTGTACAATTTTTGAAAATTCTCATCATCTTCCAATACATTTTGTCTGTGTTTCTTTTCCTCTGAAGTTCTAACCTATTAATGCATTAATCTAAAAGAAAACATACTTAAACATGTTAAAAAACACTATTGTTTAAGCAGAATTTGTGTTTTCAACTCTATAGAAAAGGAAAGATAAACCATTAAATTATATTATTTTTTTATAAAACTATATTGCTGATAAGCAATACTAACTTAAATCACATGAATTGCCGTGCATTCAATAGCAAATTCTTATCATGGTTTTAGCTATTTCCGAAATTAAAAGTATACAAGGTCGCATATTAGACGTCTAGTCAACGTCTATAAATTCTTTTTGAAAGAACTAATCAATTAGTTATTTATAATCTGCCTTTCAAACCGCTTTGACATTTTACACATCTTGATTAAGATCGCTGATGCGCCTGACAAATGAGTTCACAACTTTGAATGGAATAAACAATTCTAAATACACTCAAGAATACGGACTATTATAAATGTAAAATGTGCATCACGCTGTGTGATTTTTTGAAAACGATTTCTATTGTCTTTATGTTAATGAATACGAATTAATATTTCAAAATTTTTTGAATAGTTTCTTATACTATTAATTGCATATTAAAACTGATAATATAGTGGGTATATATTAAAAAAAACACAACATTTAAAGTACGTTTGAATCTTTACAACTTTTGGGTTTGTAGACATATCTGATAACTGGCCACTAGCGAAGTGGCTGCTAGCGAGTGACTTCTAGCTAGAGTATGGTCTCAGAAACATCGCATTTTAATGCACATCTTCCAATAATAGGTTGAAACATCTTGCCATACTGTTGGGTTACAATAGAAGTTTCATTGGTGAAATTAAGACGGCAATACGAAATTAGTAATTATCATAATAACAACAGCAAACAAAATTCAGTCAATTATTTAATCATCCAATCAAGCAAGCAAGCAAGCAAACAAACAAGCAAACAAGCAATCAATTAATCAAATCAAACAAACAATCAATCAGTTAACCAATCAATCAATCAATAAATTGAGAATGGAAATGAAGATTGTGTCAAAGAGACAACTTAACCAATGAGTAGAAAACAGCTGAAGGCCACCTATGGGTCTACATCAAAACGAAAATAACTCGCACCCGGAGGAGTCTTCGCCTGGCTTCTTAATAAAAATGTATACTAGTTCAGTAAAATTTGACGTCACAAAAAAACTATGATATATAAAAAAAAAACAGACATGACCAACAGAGTCCACAGGCTCCTGGCTTTGAACAGGCGCTAAAATATGGTTGGGTTAAACATGTTTTCTGAGATTTGAACCCTTACACTATTCCACTGTAGCAAGACAATGCAGAATAAACAAACACACAGCAAACCGCACAGTACAACTCAGTTTAAAAGAAGTCCGAGTCCGATGTCAGAATAGGTAACAAAGTGAACTAAGCAAAATGGCAATGATAAATGCATTAACAAAGGACTACTACGAGCAATAACTGACATGCCAGCTCCAGGCTTTTATTAAACTGGATGAAGGATTATGTCTCCATTATATGAATATCAAGCACTATACCTACCGTTTGGAGTTTAGTATCATACCATCATAAAAATATATGAGAAGTAAGTAAACCGTATCATGCTAAAAACTGGTTTTTGAAATAATGTGTTTATTTCCAATGAAAGACCGTATAGGTGAATCAACATTAATATCAAAATATGCCATCTTTAATGACTTGACAACAGTATCGTAACTATATCCCTTCTGAATAAGTCTGTTTAAAGGTTTGGTTATCTTTTGAGGTGAGTGCCGACATGTTTGTCCTTTTAGGCGAGTGACAATTTTCAAAAAGACGCTTAGTTAACGACTTTAATGCACCCACCTAACATACAGCTATATTATATATCATTCGAAAGCTTATTACCTGTACTTTAATTTTTGCCCGGTCGTCAATAATTCGTACGGTGCAATTTTCGTTAAATCAAGGTCATAGGTCTAAACTGAGCATTCCAAATGTTTGCTATAATTACACAAAATGCCATTTTCAGGTACTTGTATGGCATTTTATTCTCCAAAATTGATCTAAACCTTATAAAACAAGTTACTATGATTTCAAATCAAGGGCAAACTTAAATGTTGATTGCGCTATATTAACATAAAATTGCATTTCTTGAAAAAACTTCCAAAAATGATAAAATTGCAATAAAATTTGAATGTTTTCTGAAATTTGAATATTTGTATGTCAAAAATAAAATAGATTTATTGTTTATGGACCGAGGGAATTTTTTCATCATTTTAAACTGCAGTTAATATGATGTAGGTCCAGATGCAGCCTTCTAATGAAGCTTTTGTAGTTGCCCCAAAAAACACCATCTGCAAATGGGGATCATTTAGCTTTCTTTTTGCTAGATAATATTGCTAATATCGGCAGATAATGATCAACCATATTTAAAAAAAAGGTTATGGAAGAACTTTAAGGAACAAAAGAAGTATATTTGGTAAAAATTAGTTTCCCGATGTAGAAAGACATGTTACGGAGATTATGCTCGTTCAATGTTCGAAAGAAAACTGTCTGTAACATGTGCTTTTCAATGTCAAATCCGGCGAATTCCTTTTTATGTTAACCCATTATAATATACTTTGTTAGCTGTTTTATTAAATATGACTAAAAATTAATAATTCAGGTTAATTAAGATTGAATAACCTTCATGAACAACTGTAATCAACATACTTGTTTATGTATTGTTCACACAATTCGGTATAGTGTTTTAAAAAGATTTGTTTGTCTGTCTTACTTTTTCGCCATGGTCATGCTGTCATCTGTTTTTCTTCGACCAAGGTTTGAGACTGCCTCCATATTATTTTATCCCTTCTTTCAATCAAAGAAAAGAAAACCATAAATTTCAAAGCTGAGCGACAAAAGACAACAGAACTTAAAACTCAGATATAGATGCAAAAAATAAGTTAGTAAAACAACATAAATTACCGAACTCCAAGTGAAATTTCAAAACAGAAAGTCTCTTATAACATATCAAAAGCAAAACCCGAAACACATCAAACGATTGACAAACAG